AAAAATTTTTAAAAATCGTACATAAAATAGATCCAAATTTCACGATAATCCGATTTCACGATAATCCGTGACAATTAATGAAAAATCTTGATTTAAAGATTGAAACAATTTATCACAAGTTATTTTTTTTTTTTTTTGCTTTTTTTTTTAAAGGTTTTTTATTAATGAGTACTTTTTCACCGAGTTTTGTCGATGGATTTTACTGTACAAATAAAAACTCAATAAAACGACAAAATACTTATTAATTTCTCAATTTATTTAATATGGAAATTGTACACAATCATTACCCGAAGATTATTACAATACATTTCTAGTAAAAACTTTATCCTGGTACAATTACTGGTTAAAATTTACATCATTCTAACCATTTATTAAATAAACGTCACATACAATAATTCATGATTAAATGTGACTTAATTCAACGGCAAAACTGACAGATAGCTGTTTGTGTAAAAGGAAAAATTGAGCATTGTCGAAGTTGATTGGTTTAGAAAATCAAAAAAGATTCATGCGTTACCTTGGCAAATTCACGCATGTGTTCAAAGCTAAGGTGATCAATAATATCATTAGAAGTGTGGATATATGGGTTAGAATCTTCAAAAGCACCTTCAATAGCAAAAGCGGAGGGATAACCAGCCTTTGAATTGGACAAATAAAAATTAAATATCAGATAAAGTATTTGCGAATATTTATTAAATTCTATCATAAAAATAAGTTGAAATACAAACTTTTCTCCACGATGCATGATCAGAACAAGCATAGCTACAAATCGAAAATTTCAGTTATTATTGATACTTAAAAAAAAAAATTGCGTTCAATATTCACCCGCATTTTGTATCTCTTGCAGGTAATGCTGCATATGATTTAATCAGTTTCTTGATGAATTCGGTTAAGTCCATATCAACGAAATCAACGACAATCCCAAACGATTCAGGATACTTTTTACCCACGTAACCTGTCATATCATTCTAAAATATTCATACATTAGATACATTCAAGAATTATATTCATAGTGAATAAATGGATGATCAAAAAATTATTTAATCACCTGCAACATGGCAATTACATCAAATTCTAATTCTTCATAATACGAAGCAATTGCTTGAGATCCCAGAAGGCCACCTTCTTCTGCTGAATACCAATGAAATTCGACAGGGCGCGAAGGCTTAAATTGCCCTTCAACTAGCACACGAAATGCTTCCAAAATCGTAACAGTACCGCTTCCATCATCATCAGCTTAAAAAAGTAAATTAAGTCTAACGTGTTAGATGAACGTCAATGCACGATGAGCGACAAAGTCTAAAGAATTTCATGTAATATATTAACTCATTTCATTTCGCAATAAAAGTCAATTTCAAAGATGTGATAAAACATCGTTATACTGTAGTTTATATTAATTATAAAGTCAGGTGACCAAACGATTTTCAGGGTAATTATTTTTGAATCCAGACCAAAAAATGTTATTACGTCATATATAAAGGAAAACCCGCAAAACTTATTAAATAAGATTTACGGATTTTCCCTTGGCGGCACTCATATATTACATGAAATTTCCATATGTCGTGACTAGAGTTGCTTAGAGTTACATCTGGCTGAAATTATTGCATTTGCAACTAAAGGAGTAACTTTAGGCAGATAATAACACTAGTTACAACATATATATATACGAGCGTAATTTTATTTACCTCCGGGAGATCGACCAAAACTAGGCATCCACATGTTAATCGAATCTTGATGCGCACCAACAATGACCACTTCATTTGACTTACTATCATCAGAACCTCGGAATCTTGCAATGATAGATTTTTGATTCCATTTGTGCGGGAATTGCTTAACTGATAGAATTGGATCCGAATAATTTGCATTTTTAACAATGTTGGCAACCTGCTCATATAGCCATTGAGAGGATTCTTCACCATATTTAGAACGATAATATCGATTACGAAAAGATGTGAATTTTTCGAGGTTTTTTTTCATGTGCTCGATGGAAAGTTTAGAAATTAAAGGCATGACTTCATTCTCAAAAGCAGGGCTAACTGGGAATTCTATATATAAAAAACAAGTTTATTTGATAATGTTTAGTTCATTTAATAATATTTTTATGGCTTATGCATAATGCATCTCAGTGAGTAACAACGAAACCTGCCGCGTTTTTTAAAAGCCTTATATCGTGTTCCCAAAGAACGGTAATCTGTTATGTCCATGAATTTAATGTTTTTCCTAATTAAACCCAAAACTTGCTCTTCGGTCATCCATTCCGACGTGAACGAACTTGTTTGAATCAACCTTTTCCCCTCGCCTTGCAAGTTGGGAAGTTGGAACTCAGAATCGTAAACCAGGTCAACGGAATCTTGGATCTTGATTCGCAGACCAGTAACCAGAACGGTTAATATAGCAACCAGAGGGGCAATGAACAAGAATTTTACCATTTTTCTTTAACTGAGTAAAGTTATCTCACTCCCCAATTGAACCATTTTGAAAGAACTTGAACATGTCGTGTAACTTCCAATTTGGGGTAACAGATAAGATTTCTATCATTATCTTTATCATTTAATTTTTTAACTGAATACCGAAAAAATTCGCGATAAATTAATCAAAATTGCATACGTATTAATAAGGGAACCATGGGTATTATGGCGCACTCAACGATTGCTAATAGTAAAAATTTTTGAAAAAAGCTTCTTTTATTC